CGCCAATTCCAGAGGATTATCATTGTTTTTTTCCTGAAAATACCATAAATTGGGGTGCATTCTGCTAATCAAACATGGCAGGGCGATATCCCCTACGAATGTGCAAATGGGAAAAGTATTAGTATAATGTATACATGGAGGAGTTTCCATTGCAAATCATTGCAATGTGCTTTCATAAATCAAGGTGTTGTTCTATAAATGGAAACATTATATTTTATAAATTGAGGATTTCTTCTATACATGGAATTCCCATTATAGTACCAGATTGCCAGAGAGATATCCTGTATTTTTTTGTCAAAGCCGGTGCTAGGCCGGATGATTCCTAAAGGAAGAGACCACCAGAGTGCCGTGGTTTTTGATGACGATTGATTGGTGGTTTCACAAAAAAAACATGTGTTTCCTACCTTTATAATCCCCATACCTGGGGTTTGAGATATCATTATCATTATTTTATGCCCATCATTAGAAATTGGACCCCTATCATTATCCTATGCACCTAGGATGATCGTCCTAAATGACTGATATTAATTGGCAATGGGACTGGGTCAAAGTCAACCAACTACTACCGAGAACGACGAAAGTTTTCTCGCCAGGCGTTGCCGCATTCCTGAGACCTCCTGACTGGTACAGTAAGTGTATGCCAACTTACTTGGATGTGCATCCCACTTTGAGGTGGGTAAGAACCATAACCATCCATAACCCAGTTATAGAAATGGGATGTTGTTTAGTCTAAGCCTCAGATTTATTGGAAGTTCCCAGAGTGGCTGCATTCCCACTAACATCAACTACAGTAACCAATATTGGTAAGAACAGGGGGGTGTAAACCAAATACTAGCTCTGATGCAGATCCAAATACAACCTTTGGGCCCAGCCTTGCGCGGAAGGTTCCTATGATGGCACTACAAAGTTTTGGTGCCTGGCTACGGGCCGAGAACGTACCTGGCCTTCCGATGAACCCAGAACAATAGCCAGTTTTCCTTCTGTGGGATGTTTGGAATACGGTAGTCTCCCACCTCAGCCGCTATTGCAATTTGAAGAGTATCCCCATTTTCAGACATCACACACACATAATATCATATTGTTGTTGGTACCGTAATCATCCCTATAAAATGGTTGGCTTGATCCCCCAATTGGGAGAAAAAAATTGCCCTTGCGTTGAAGTTCTATCTCAGTTGGGTATCATTACCATGATAGTTTTCCATTAAACCTGCCATAGTATATCACTACTTACCATTTTCAAACACATTTTCGGCATCGACAGTGATGGCCCTTTACCAGTTGTGAGTCAGTAAGTCACCCTATTTATGATTACCTCCACTAATCACCATTAAGACCAATGGGTGTCTAGGGCAAAAATACATGGCATGGGGTCAATGTTTTGCCCTCCCATGACACCAGTGTACCCTCTGGTAAACTAACATAGCAATGGAAAATCACTATTTTTAATGGGAAAATCCATTATAAATGGCCATTTTCAATAGCAAACTGTTAGTTCACCAGAGGGTAGTCTTGCTACCGAGGTAGCAGCCACCGTGCCTTTTCGCCCTTGACGCCAGCCCAACGAGAAGATCCCGAGGAGGATGCCAGTGATGCGGTGATGTATGCCGACCTGTCCAAGGATGGCAGGCGCATAGTGAAGCGAAAACGATTTTTTGGAAAAGGGTCACGCGAGAAATTGGGGATTTTACATGGGCTTATTATGGCTTATTATGGCTTATTATGGCTTACTATGGCTTATTATGGTTATGTTTCAAATTGGGGTTGCAGTTTAAGCACAAGTTGTGAAGACTGGATAAAACTGGATGATTCTTGGTGACCGCTTAAACCCCAATGTTTGGGGCTCCTCGAGTTGGAGAAATATTCAAATAGTACTCGTACGGTATAGTACATCAGTACTGTTGCGGGTTTTGGACAGTCAATTAGTAGATCGTTGGGTCATGTTGGGTCCCACCGACACTGAACTGTGAAACTGCTATCCTGCCTGCCACAGTGATCAACTGACCCAGGTACCTGGTGACTGCCGCATATGACGGAGTCGCCACCGTGTGGTGTGTTGCGTGGCTTAGGGGCAGGGGTGGCTACCCCATCAGGGTCTAAATGTCTAAGGGCTTGGGTTGGGGGAGAAAGGTGAAGATTCCCATGGTCCTCAGCGATTTTTGCCTCGCTGTTCCTCGTCGTGTGGACTTCTGGACCACAAACTCTTCTTCGTCGGTCAAAGGGTTCTCAGGAGGCTTCAGATTGACTGTTTGGTTCAGGGTGCTTGCAGGACAGTATACTTTAATTCCTTGCAAGCAGAATTGCAAACCACAATGGAGACTTCTCTCAGATTCCCCTGGGGCTTGATCTCAAGGATTGGACTATTTTTTGCAGGTGATTGTCAAGAAAACATTGCTTCCAAGCCCATTTCAGGTTCAACCCCATCTATCTTGTTGCTTAGAGTCCTGCTGCTTCCCAGTGTTTGTTGCTTAAAATATGTTAAAATCATCTTGAATCTGTGTTCAAGTACTTTTTTAATCCTTATTTTGCTTTGTGAAAATCATCTTAAATCATCTTAAATCATCTTAAATCTATATTTCTAGTGGTGATATCCATGGTTTTATTGGTTGAATTGTTATGTTTATTGGTGAAATCAAGGTTAACTTCTGGTTGGTTACATCCCTATCTTTATTGGTTCAACCAAGGTGAAATCCCCATGTTGGTGAAATCCCGCCCCTGGCCGCGGCCTGAGATGCGCAAGAACGTGGCCATGGCGACCCTGCTGGGCCGAGAGGGTGGCCTTTATACCGCGCAGTTCGCACCGGATGGTCAGCATGTCTTGTCCCCCGGCCGTGACCTAAGGGGTGTGACGCTACCTTTTTCTTGGGACTTTGGAGCTTGGAGCAATGATTTTTTTTGATGTTGCTATAGTTTGGGGTGTGAACTTTGTTTTGAAGCAATCCTTTTCATGCCATTTGAGTTCTTTGATGTTTTTGTTTGTTGAAATATTTGTGTTTTGAGACCTACTGGTACCTTTGAGGGTTTTTTGATGGCGCAACGCCGGTCGGATTAGAGTGGAGTCTAATAAACGATACAGCTTTGCCATTTCAATGAAACGATCAAGCAATGGATTCGGGGAAACCAAATTTTCAGACAACCCGACCCATATCCAATATGTATCTAGATGTATCTAGATATATATATATATATATACGTAGTTACTGTATATAATATAATACATATATACATATATATATACATTTGTATGTGATTCAATGTCTAAGAGTCTAATATAGTATACATATTCTTATGGTGATTTTAAATCTGTCCGGATCGCCGAGGACAGCCTCGGCCAAGGGGCTGGCGTGTCTTTGGCATTGGCCCAAGCAAGAGGTGCCGATGATTGGTTTGACATTGAGGGTTTTTTAAGCATCAAACCATGGGGTTTGGGTTGATTTTTGTAGCAAATTTAACTGCTAGATGATAATAATAGGAAATTGTACTAAACAAACTCACACACCGATATATTGAATAGCGGTTTTAAGATGGTTTTAACAAAGGAAAAATGGATTTGACCCAGAAATATTGGTGAACAATACTAAATCGAGTTTGATTTAGGTTAGTCATTCCCAACAGTTGGTTCATGGTTTTATGTTTTCCACGCTAGTGGCTGAGTGTCTATTCCTGTTGATATTGGTTTGATTGATTTAAGGGAAAATTTGCAGGATACATCCAGATTTGGTGGTAAAGACCATGCCTTTGCCCTTAAACCCATCCATTGATTTATAGATCCCGTTTTTTTTGGTTCCTCATTTACTCCTGCATGGGAAGAGAGGTGAAAGAAGCCTCTATCAATGGCCAAGTGCCACGCTCCAATGATGCAGTTTTATGATGTTTTATGCAGTTTTGGCATGTATAGCAAAACTTAGACCCTCGAGTCATCAATTATTCATAGGTATGTTATTGCCAATTTTAGCCCCAGTGTTTTGGTACATGTGCTCCTCTTTACAGATTAAAAGCGAGGGTTTCGTTTGAATTGTTGGTGCATTGACATTCATATCGGTTTTCTCGAAGTCACATGCCAAGTGGGGCATGTATATATATATACATACATACATTTGGTTGGTGGTTTGGAACACTGTTTATTTTCCATTAATATATGGGATAATCCTTCCCAACTGACTACTATTTTTCAGAGGGGTAGGTCAACCACTAACCAGATATATCTCCAGGTCGTTCCAGGTCAATCCACACTCAAGCATTTTCAAGGTGGATTCTGAATATGATCCAAGAAATTTGGCTATGGATCAATACCTATTAATACCATTTTTAGTGGGATGAACACCCATTTACCAGCTATTTTGATGTTCACCAGGGGTACAAGGTTTTGACACACTGCCATATCCAAGAAATATATTCGCGTTTCGAGCAACTACAATGATCATCAATGATCGAACTCCTATCTCAGCTGTCAGAGTCAAACAACAAGCTTGCTGGGTCTGTCTGGAGATGTAAAATCGTATGCCCCAACATTTGATGTTTGTCATTATTTCCCTCCATGAAAATGACCATAAACGTGGTATAATATGGTATAATCATGTACCCATGTATACCTGAATTTTCAGATACAACCAACTGTCAGGTGATCATCAACTCAGATGATTAAATCCCAGGTTCAAGTGTGCTACCATGTGGTGCCGCCCCCCAGTCATGTATGTTGCTTTGAAGTTCCAGTAACTAATATATGATATTAATGTTAACTATAGATACATCTATACTATACGCCCTAATGTAGTGAACAAAACTAGCTTAGCTAACTATGGCACGGGGAACTATAGCTATATTATATGTAGCAAAAACACGGGTGAAAGATTAGTGAACAAAACCAACTGAGCTAATTAAATCCCATTAAGCCACCATTCAAACATCAGTAAATCCGCCTTGAATCCCCATGTAATCACCATTTTGCTGGTAAGTGATGCCTCCAGGTGCGATGGCTGCTGAACGGCCATGAGGAATCCTACATGCGCTGCGCCAGCTTTTCTCCGGACAGCACGCGCATCGTCACGACCAGTGCGGATTGCGACTTGTCTGGGGAAAGCTGGGGAGATTTGGGGAGATCTGGAGAAATACCCTGTAGCATTTTCTTCAGAAAGTAGCTGAGATTTATGCATTTTCATCCCACTGCGTTCCAGAAAAAACCGGTATTCATCCCCAAATCTGGAGAAATTGTTTGGTGACGTCAGTGGCTATCCCGAAGCAGAACTTGTCGGGTTGGTGACATATATTCATTTGTCCGGACAAATGATGACTAGCGAAACCATCCCGCAAATATATCTAAATCTCAATATCAAATAATTTGTGTTCAGCTTTTGGGAATTAAATACATTGCCCGTGATATGTACATGTTATATATTGATATATATTGTTAATCTCATATATTGATATTATATATTAATATCTATGTATCGATCAATTCTTCGTGGCGTTGCAATACCAAAACCTGGTTCGATTATTTCATCCCAGGGCCCCAGGCCATCGTTGATACACCGACTCGCGAGGTAGTGTGCGCATATGGCAGCTCAGTAACGTGGTGCAATGCTGGAGTGGATACTTGGGCCATGGACGAAACTTGTTCATAAACATGTTGTTTTTCCCCTAACATCTTGTAACTTGGTTTCCATCTAAGCATATATGCTGTAGATATATCGTGATATATCCATGATAAACCAACCATTTTGAGAGGTGAGTTTCAATGAGTGTTTTCATGTTTGTTTCACATGTTTTCACTGGCCCATCGACACTGTCGACCCATGCATTTTGGTGCCTGAATTCGTGACCATGCAGAACTGGTTCTGACAGTTCACTCCCCGATGACCACATCCGCAGTTTATACCATCTGGTTATTTAACATAGCTATTGAAAATGGCCCATTGATAGTGGATTTTCCCATTAAAAATGGTGATTTTCCATAGTTTTTTGTATGTTTACCAGAGGGTACATGTGTTTTTATGGGCCAACATCCACGGCAGCAACGGGTGAAATCCACACACTGTTCCGAAATCAAGCGTGGAGTCGTTGCACAACATGTATTTGGATAACCGTTGCGCCAACAAGCATTAATACATGGGTTTAGCAGATGAATTTCCTGATGAAACACATGGACATGACATGAAATGACAATCATGTTATATATATATGTGATATATATATATGTATGATATATATATATATATATGATATATACATATGATATGTATATATATATATATACATATAATATATATATATACATTTTATATATATATATGATATATATATATATATGATATATATGTATATATGATATATATGTATGTATATGTATTTATCTATGATATTTGGATATGTTTGGGCTTTCATGGCTCAATTCATTGTGAGCATTTACTGTACTTCATCCAACGTCCACCAAGGCGACAAAAGTACCGAGGCAGGAACGGTCAAGCTGGCGTGGAATTTGGGATATCGTTCTTCTTGAATGGGGTATTCCCATGGATTCCCTAATTTTGTGCAATTCCCATGAAAAGCATGATAAACCACTGGATGATACGTAGTATTATGACAGTTCCATTACCCGTGTGTCAATTTCGCCTGGAATTTGGGATAGTGACCTATAGAGTCATCACTTGGCGGAGCGCGATACTGAATCACAGGCTAGGGGAACTATTAGACTTAAATGGGCCAACATTTGTTGCGTTTGGGATTTGAAATAAATTATTGAATCAATAATTTATACAGGTATCACATGGTATTACCATTTTTTACATCTTGAACTTGACATATTAGACTTGTTTAAACACGTCAACTGTGGAACATGGTTGCGGTCAGCCCAATCGGCATAGTCTTGGCTTGATAGGAACTCTGCGGATCATTTCCGGTCAACTTCCGAAATTATTTTCATGGATTTGCATCGTAGTTAGTATATACAGGAATTGCTTCATGTGTTTTTTTTAAATATAATCAACATATACATATATATATAATATACGCAGATATGGAGATATGTATGCACATATTATATGTACCGTACATATATAATATATTATATTCTATATATATATACATTATTGTATATGAAGATACATATTATATTTTATGATATATATCTAATATATATATATATTGTAATATATACACATAAGAAACTTGTCCTTCCTCCGTTACGAGGCGCCCACGCTGGTGAGAATCTTGCAGGGTCATTGGGGATGGGTCCCTTGGCACCGGTAGCACCGTGGAATTTTGTGGAGCACAATTAATACCCTCTGGTAATTTAACAGTTCGCAAACTGGAAAATGACCATATTATAGTGGATTTTTCCATTGGAAATGGTGATTTTTCCATAGTTTTTTGTATGTTTACCAGAGGGTAGTTATGGATAATTATGAATATTCCACATTTGCAGCGGGATAGAATTTTCTGGATCCACCCCCACTAACTCTGACTGTTTCGGTATGGAATATAAGATGATGTAATGAGATAAACGAGTTTTACAAGCCATTATACAGCTATATAGTTTTATACTTAGCTAAGTTGGTTTACAACTTCTTTCATACTCATTCATTAGGTTTATGGTAGATATATCTATAGTTAGTTTGGCTTATAAACGAACTTAATTATAACTGAGGGGGGCACCCACTTACATGCCCTACTTCGCCAAGGTCAATACCGCTTTCTTTTCACTGGATGGAAACCTGGTGCTATCTGCGGCAGCCGACAAAACGGCCAAGATTTGGTGCGCGCACACAGGAGCCGCTGGTCACCCTTCACCGATCATGGAAGATTCCAATTCCTAGCGGGAGAGGAAATTCTCTGGACATTTACAGTAATTATACTCAGTATATCTGAGTATATGGAATGTCCCTAACCATTGAACTACTTATTTGGGGAAGATCTTCAATAGGTTTTTTCAATATTTGTTCAATAATATTCTGCAGCAAACCATGGGTTTTAGGGACCAAATATGGGTGTAGACAGATGGGTTTCTTGCAAAATGAAGCGAAAGAATTCCGAGACATGGATGGAAACCATGGTTTTTTGCGTGGCCATGGCCATGCTCAACAGTGGCTGCGTACCATAGCAGGCTAGTTTTAGGCACGTGCAAATCACGGGTAATACACATAAGCGACAAGCCTACACTCTGGTAGTCAAAATGACAATGGAAAGTCCACCATTTAGTTGCTGAGATTTCCCAGCGATGGTGAGAACCATCCTATGGCCCCAGCAGTGCCAGGAGATTGTTTGAAGACCTTTGAGGGTCACTACGTCCCTGGGCGAAGGGGACAGTTGATGAGCTTTGCTCCGATACCCGATACATTCTATAAACATACTATTACTATGTATATATATATAGTAATTCTCATACATATATATATATATATGCATTACGTTTTATGCAATTAAGCACATACGCTATACGATGGTATACATATGTCATATGGTCCAATGGGATCAGGATCATTGATTGGTCTTGGGATGGGGTGGCTCAATCGCAGACAACACTAGACAACACTAGACAACCTTTGCCCGGACTTCCCAGGCTTATGTTCGTTCTGCAGTGTTTTCTCTGCAGCAGGAGCCACTTGGAGTGAAAAAAACAGGGCAGCTGATGAAAGGAAATTCCACCTAATTGAAACAGGACGGCTGGAAGGCCATTTGGATCCATTTGGTATACAACTAATTTCGTTCCGGACATTTCTTGAGTTTCCGGCTTCATGCAGCAAATCCTCCATGGAAACGTTGCGAATCCGACAAGGAACATGTCGACACGTGTCGACACTATAGGCCAGAACTTGACGAACAGGCGCAGATTTGGCATATAGTCTAGGGATGTCTAGGGAATATGTTCAAAGCCTAGAACCAAAACCTTGGGGCTGCTGCTGTATTTGGATTGGTTAGAGGCTTGGATTGTACAACAAGTTTTTGGATGTCGGTCATTCAGGCCCAGCCTGCTGCAAGCGTTTGCATTTCTGTGGGTTGCATTGAGGTATGTCCTGACTGCGTCTTCCGATTGGACTGCAAAGTTGTGGAAATTCGGCAGCGGCGAATGCATCCAGACGTGCCGAACTGATGTGGAAATCTGGAGCTCACTAAAGCTGAATCATGTTTTGGAGGGACTTGGGTAAACCACAAGCAGTAACCCAGCAACATCCCTTTTAAGTGCTCAAACTCGCGTGGTTGCCGCTTTCCATCCCGTTTTTTGCTGCTCAAGATTGCTCAAGACTCCAGCTCAAAATCCAATTTTCCCACTTGGGGAGTGCTGTTCCAGTGCATAGTTACAGGGGTTATATATCCCAGCGTATCACCTATACTTAAATAGCCCTAACGACACTTGTAGGATTATTCCAATATATAGGAAGTGGTTCGTAGCCCTGATCAATAAATTAATAAATCCCCGAAGGTGGTTATCCACTTATTAATCCACAAGACACGATAAACACGATATGTCCAGCCATGATTCCGGGGATGATCCTCTACCGCCGCTACGCGCCTGTGGTTGTTCCGGCAGGTATCGGGGCCATGCGCAGTGGGTCAACATGGCCAACTTCGCAGCAAACGAAGAGAAGATCGTGACCTGCTCTAGAGACGCTCGGTAGAGGTGTTGGAGGCTGGAGATTTTTGGGGACCGCAGATGGATTGGTCCTTTTCAGTACTGTACATCGCATAGGGCCTATGGGTTCCAAGTTTTTGACCCATGGACGCTTCCAAGATGGGATTGAATCAGGGAAAATGGTGGACACGTGGCAAGACCATGCACCATTTTGTTTTTGGGATGGCCAATTGCTTTTCGTACTCCCGCATAGTATCACACACAGCAGTCACGTTGGATGAATAGGGTATGGTGTATGGTATGGGGTTCACATGATTTAACCAACAGAAACCGCAGAGGAGTTTCATTGTAGTCTGGTAATGTGGAGAATGTAGCAGTCTCCAGTCATTGAGGAATTCAATTCTCCTGGAACGACCACAATTGGAGTGTTCAGCCTGAGTGCCTAGTGGGAGATCTTTTTCGGCTGGCCATTTTTCCTTGTGTCCACATTGTCCACTGGGGAATGGTCGTGTAGCCTCGGTGAATTGGAGTGTTTTTTCCTCCCCCCAATGAAGGGAAAACACATGGGTGTGTCTGAAAATAGTGTACCCCTAAACCCAATGGTTAATGATCATTATCCCTATTAAATGGCTATAATTGGGAATATACCCTATTTTCAGACAAACCCACATGAAAACACTGTTTCCCCCTTTGACCAATGTTGGGATTAACTGAGGGTTTCTCGACCTTGTCCCAAGGCTGTGCGGACGTCGGGGACACAAGTAGATACGTATCCATTTGGTATTCAAGCAGCGATTTCAATCGCTGAGACTGATCGATTCATCCCAGTTGTTACCTTTTGACACGACAGGTAGCAGTAAATGTTACCTACCCTGAATTTAATAGCCGTTTTGTTTGAATGGTTAAACCTCAAGGAATTGGGACTGACCACGGAGTTTGCCACAAACTTGAGGCTAGGAAGTGATACCGCCTGTGCCGGGTCTCTGGCTTGGCAGAATGCAATCGAAAGCCTTGCCACAGTCTTCGCCTTGGTTCAGGTCCCTTATTTGGCCTTGTCCAATGCATTGGCGCACATCTGCAATCACGGGAAAACTTTGCAGTTTGTTTGAGCGTTTGATAACGGAGCAGCCAGACAATCTGCTGTCTCGAATGAAGAACACTTTTTGCCGCACTTTGCGCTCAAAAGAAGAGATTATGCGCAAGTGTCGAAAGAGATTATGCTCAGATAATCCAGGAGTCTGGACACGGTCGTGGATAATCCAGGAGCTCCAGGAGTTCCTTTCATTCCTTCTCTCTGAATGGATCGGCAGTTGTTCAGTGGATCCTGCACTGATTTCCCCCATTTCCTGGGAGTATCCCATGGGTTGGGATTCTAGCCATGAGGATTCAGGACTACGGCTGCTGGGACGATCCAGCTGATGTGATGGTAATGGATGTAAATAATGATCAAAATGATAAACCAGGCCGCGCGGCACGGAACATGCATATTGATTGACTCACACCCTTTCCATAGCTGGTGGTCTCCCACCTATAGGCAGCAAACATGGTTAAAAAATACCTCTCCCAAATCATCATGTTTGGGGGCACACATGGGCATATGACCCATAAATGTAACATGCTGGATGAAAGCCCTTAGTTGTTTGGAAGCACTTTTGTTGTCTCATGCCAGTGTGCCCAGCGGAAGAGCTGAAATAAACATATATGATTGAATTGATTAAAATGACTTGTCTTTTAAGGTATGATCTTTACAGCGCAACGCATATGCACGAAGGATTTCTTGGCAAACCATCCACGATTGCTCATGTGCTGTGTAGGGTACCATGTGGAATGTTACATCGAATCCATATATTCAAGTATCTACGCGTACCAAAACGCAATGTGGCCAGGGGATCTACTTAGCGTTCAGAGTGGCTCAGAAATTGACATTGCTACATACATTACTGAAAAGACAGGCCAGCCTGCTATAGGGAAAATTCCCAAAGTCACATGACTCTCTCTCAATTGATGTGAGTTGTTCTGTGTGTTGAAGAACAACAAATATACTTGCTCGATGTTGAACAGCAGGACCCTTTGCCGGAGGAAACAACAGGTGCATCCCATGGTATATTCCATTATATAGTTAATTCCCAGTTTAATCCACATTATGTATCTTTATGTGTCTTACTGTATATAATTATATCACCATTAAGCCTCATTAATTTATATTAATTTGATAAGTCTCAACAAACCCCTTGACCCATTAAACCCCATTAAATCTTGCCAAGGACTGCACAGCACGGCTTTGGATGACACAAAGTGGCGACTGCCTCAGAGTCTTCGAGGGTCACAAAGACTTCGTGATGTGCAGCCTGGTCATAGGCGAAGCATCGGAATGTGGCGGGTGTTCCGTTGGTAAACCAACTGGTCAAGGCTTAGGTGTGTTGAAGTTGAATGGTACTTCTAGATACTTAGTCAAAAACGAAACATCAAAAAACTAACCGCTTTAGTTTTTTGATCTTCAGCCCAATTAATGGGAATATGAAACTGTCCCAGCTAAAATCATGTGTTTTTTCTTTGGCAGGGTCCGGGTATCCAAGAAACTAAGAATATCCATGTTCAGGAGCTGATGCCAACCAGTTCATCCCAAACTCAAATCAGTATATAGTCAAAAATGAAACTCAAGGCGCTTTTCCAATTGGAATTTGCCATTCCTTGGTTCCATTTGTAATGCGAGGGCGTACAAGGATCTCGCGAGAACAAGCCCACGACAACCCATTCACCATGATATTGACTTGAAAGGCCCCATTTTGTGGGCCAACATGTGATGTAATCAATGTATATCAATGTACAATACCAGTTCAAAGGAAGTCTGCCCGCAGTGTTGCCTGCTGGTCTTGATGGAGATGGTGTTTCCGAAAAAAAGAAGCGAAGGAATCAGAGGAATTCTGCTGATGCCCGTGCCTCGTGTTTGAACAATACCCAGGCCAGTCTCCTTACTTGACTCCTACATATACATGTCTATTGGTCAAATAAATGTCCTAAATCGGTTAGTTTGTCTCTATTTTGGTTATAAAACACTCCAAAATTGCATAGTTTAGAAATGTCCCATTGAAATGGCAATCTCTTAGTAAGGTATCAGTATGTATATATATATATATCCGATCCCTTGTTTTTGTTTGACAACCCCATATGAAATTACCATTGAAACCACGGAGTGCAGGTTCCGCCCCTCGAGACCGTTGGCAGGTGGGAACAGAAGCATGGGACGGGCTGATGGAAAAAAATCCGATGTCATCCCATCAAAAACTGGTTGGTTGCTTGGTACCTGCTCCTATGGACGTTCCATGTAACAATTCCTAAGGAAGAACTGATGGTCTAGCCACAAGAAACAAAGGCTCTTTTGCTTGTCAAGTCACCGGTGATTCCATGGTGACTTTGTAAGTTGATTTTGGGGAATAAACTCACACATATTTGGAGGCATAGCCGTGCATAGCCCACTTGATTTCGGTTATTGTGGGTTCGTGATGGTTCTTGATGGTTATTGGAGGTAGGTCCGGTTGTTGGGTCTCCAAGATTTGTCGGTTTGCCATGAGACATCGCATGTGGGAAATGGCACTGTGTTATGACGAATGGCGTCTGGTGGACCTGGCATGATGCATTTTACATTTAAGGGGTAGTCCCCAAAAATGTATCTTACGTTTTGGCATGGTCCCCGGTCCCCCCCTGAAAAGTAGCCTTAAAGGGGTGCTAATGATATATTATGTACATGAATTGTAATGAATTGTATTTTTTTTGCTCCAATTTATGGGGAGCAATCAAGGCATCGACCAATGGAACCAAACTTTCCTGGAGCAATTGTATGAATCATCCCGTCATGGAATGGCTGGGTCATTATATACCCCAATATGATCCAATATGATTGTTGGGTTTTGGATGGTTTTGGAGTTCAGGCAATACTAGCCATCGATACAAATAACCTCTTGGCCGACCTAAAATATGTTTACTTTCTGCTTTCATGTCCAATTCCACGGTTGTTGGGACATCTTCTACGCCACACAATGAGTAATGATAAGTCTAATCTTGGGCAAGATTGCGACCACTAACACGCAGAAATATCAGAAATACTTTACATCTACGCAAACATTCTGACTCGAGAAAGTTGCAGTCTGCACGCCATTTCGTTGTAAGGGGTTGTTGAGTAGCCACGCTGAACGTCCTCCAGGTGTCGTTTTTGTGGGGAGGGTCTTCAAAATACCTTCAAAAGTCTAAGCTTACATTTTCAAGGCCCCCGTCAAAAATACCTTAGAAAATGTAGCTTACATTTTGGGTATGTCCCCTCCCCGTAAAACGGTGGTGATAATATATATATACACTGGTACATATATATATATATACACACATAACACACTATGTATATATAATATACGTCTATGTAATATCCAACTAGAAATTGATTTTTTTGTGGGGTATCTACACCGATCCATGTTCTTACTAAAGGAAGACAGACAGCCGGTCGCTGCAGGTACGCTGCAGCCGACGATTGACTGATGCATCTGACGCTGAAAAACACATACCCGGTCGCAGTCGAATGGGTACTGCGGCCATGTAAGCAATGATCACGGTCTTTGTCTCATCCTGTTTTTGGTCTACTTACCATGTTTAATGTTGCATGCAGTGTTTTTTTCAGATCACTTTAACCCAGTAGTCTGGTAAACATGCCTCTCGGAAGAAGCGACACCCAACAAACCAGTTTTGCATTGTGGGCGCGGGAGGGGCGCAATTTGATTTTCAAAAATGCAGCCGGTGGCTGTGGCTGCAAGTGACTGCAAGTGGCTGCTTGGGCAAGTGGTTGCAAGTGGCTGCTTGTAGCTGCAAGTGGCTGCTTGGGGAAGTGGCTGCAAGTGGCTGCAAGTCGCTGCAAGTGGCTGCAAGTGGCCGCTGCAAGTGGCTGCTTGGGCAGGCAGGTAGTGGCAGCCACTTGCCCAAGCAGCCACTTGCTGCCAAACTGCCAATCTGCAAGTGGTTGTATGACAAGTGGCTGCAGCAAGTGGCAGCAAGTGGTTGCATGAGCAAGTGGCTGCAAGTGATTGCTTTTTTCAAAAATCAAAATGATGCACGTTTGCTCGCTCTCTGCAGTTTGGGATTTGTCTGGCACCACGAGCCGAGCCGCTCTGTTGGACCGTTCAGACTGCCGAAGGCTGGCACAGAATGCACACACTTAAGCATCAATGCTTCTATGATCTTCTATGTAGAATTTGAATAATTCAGTCAAATTGCTGGTGGCCGTGTGCCCATCATATTGTGTTTCAGTGGATTGAAGGGAAAAAACCGTAAACCCGTTGGCTTTACCTCCAAATCCATCGCCTGGCCGCCACTCCGGTGCCCGAACTTTGCAGCTTCAAAGGCAGAAAGGCGCGAAACTCAACCCTTCGAATCATGAAGCTCTAAGACGCAGGGATATCGGGTATACAAGCGGATCAATTTAGGAATGTGATGTGTTTATACATGCACAATAACCAAGGAGAATATATCAGTGGTTGCAGCTAAGCAAGGATGTAGCCAACTAGAAATACGGAACTGACTCAATGGCTGCAGTGAGAGAACCAACTGACTTGGTGAGTTCTCCGCCAAATCAGAAACGACACTCAGGAAGGGTCCATGATTTTGGCCACACTGGAAATCCAAAACCGCCAGAACAATCCAAAACATACCGCACCATACCTCTCAAACCACCCACACCAAGATTTTTCCGAATTCCAGACTTCTGTTCCCCTCAACACACTTCCCAGTATATGTGTGTTTTTCTGCTTAAATCGGGAAAGCCGACACCATCCAAACTGGTGAGATATGCCAAAACCCAATGGCCAAAGATTCGAACATTCGGAACACCACGGAAGTTTTCATCATATGTTTCATCAGTTTTCCACCAGTTTTCCACCATGTTTTTCCAAGTTTTCCATCATTTTTCCCCAAGTTTGGTAGGTCTCCCCACTTTAGAAACGCCACCGCACGCCCACGCGGTATGCGCCGTGCCCTTGGCACCTTGGCCGCCTGTGTCGCCTTATGGAGACCCTGGAGCCTAGGCCGGGGCCGGGCAGGGGTCCCGCAGCACCTTTCGTGGGGAGCGTGGTATGGCATTCCCAATATAGGTTACACAATATATGTATATAGTTATGTGTTTATTTATCTATTATCGATTTGTTTATTTCTACTGGCATATATATATATATTACTTATTCCCATTGTAGTTTACATTCAGAAACATATCCATTAATGATGTATATGTATACTTCCGGTTTATTTATGCAATATTATATATCTGTATATTTTAATGGTATCACCTTGCATATGTCCATTAAAGCATATCCCTAAGGTGATTTGTTGATATGGGAAATCCACTACGACTTGGGAATCGATTAAGGGAATAGTTTATTGGAGGGTCCTTAAGCAAATCCAAGATAACCAACAATGATGGGTTGTAGATTTAATGTATCACAATTATAGACTAGACCTATTATACATATCATTTACATTTACATATACAGAGACGGATGCAGATGCATATACATATATATACACATGTACATGTACATTTACATATGCGTATGCACATACACATTTACATACACATTTACATACACATACACATACACATTTACATACACATACACATACATACCCAGACATACATACATGCATACGTACATACGTACATACGTACATACGTACATACGTACATACGTACATACCAGTATATGTTTGGCCACTGAAAAATGAAGGTATGATTGTTACCAACTTAAAGACACAAGTATTGTATCGATTGATCCGTTCCCCGTAACCACAGATTCAGATACTGGTTACCCAAACGAAACCATGGTGGAATGTATCGGATCACTTCCGTTGGGGGAAGCATTTCTGGGGTGTATTTCATATGGGAAGGGCTGGGAATCCGGGAAGGGAGTACATGTTTGACCATAAAAGTAAAGAATCTAGCTGGCAAGTGACTCTGCCAGTTGGTGGAGTGAGATGTCTGGGCGCGTCTCATTTTTGAGTCATATCAACTATTCAATTGAATGAAATGTCCATTGTTGAAACTTAAACCTGTTAGATCTCCATGTGTTGTTTATCTTCGAGCAAATTTGGCAGGCATTCACTGTGTTCAATTTCGGCAGCTCATTCCAGAACTAACTTTAATGACCAGAGGGATCTTCAGTTGGTTATACAAAATGTTTGTTTGTTACTGTATATCATTTTTTTTCTGATCGAGTCCCCTCAGTGCAGGTGTTGCAAAAATAATAACAATTTCCGCGCCTTTGTTGGTTCAAACAAGTTAGCACATGCCAAAATCTACCTGTTACTCTGATTTTCCTTGGTTTGATTGCTAAAAAAGCAGGATTATTTGTTTGGATGGATCATGTCCAAATATGTCAAAGTATGCCAAAATCTAATGGATTATCATGATTATCATGATTTTCCAATATGTTCTCATTAACATGCTACAGAATGGGAAATGGAAACACCTATATGAATTAGTCTAAAAATAGGTGACCAACAAATCCAATGATTGATCGTAATTGTCCGTATTAACATTGCCATTCGGGAACTATATTTGTTCAGGCAAACCATATCCCATTAAAACAGAATATGTATATTTTGGCTCGGGCTCACAGATGCGTTACTCGACGCAGCGGCCTGCACATAAATTCTGTGCTGCCGGTTCTACCATGCAGCAGCCGCTGACCAAAGATGAGGATCCACAAACAAACAAAAGGGAAATCACAAAAACAAAGGTTCGGCAAATGGATAAAGGAAACCTAAAGTCAGCCGGCATAGTCTGGCCCGATGTGTTCTCCATATTCTGCACACAGCATGGAGGCACAACGGTCAGAGAAGCTACTCGGAACAGTGACAGATGGGTCACTTGCGCACTGTCCTATAGCAACGAAGAGTCCCTCCGCCAACCCTCCGTTCAAGGATGGCGGGTACTCCTTCAAAACTGAGGTGGGCCAGCCTCCAGCTTGGTCCCTTCCGATCGAGATACCCTTTGGTAGCTCTCGGGTAATCTGCCACTTGCGCAGCTTTTGTCTCATGTCAGGCGCATTGACAAGCAAAAAAGACGTTGGTTTGGGGGATTTAGCGCCCCAAAGACCCTGTGCCAAAGAAACAAGTTCAATGCCTGGCAGAGACAAAAGCAACGCCAAAATCGGTGTCCGCCAAATGGAAACAGATTCCTCAGAGGCCGGCGCTGCCGGGTGCTCAAGCGCTGCCACACCACCAACGCAGTAGAGCATGACGACCGCCTCCAAGATGAATCCCATGAGGTCATTGCCCACACGAATCTGCCTCAGTTCCTTCAAGCGGAGTGATGGAAGTCCCCACGGAGTCTCCGGAACCCGCAAAACTCTCGGTGCAAAGGCATGCTCGGCGACAGAGCGTTCCCTGGCCTGCGACCAGGTCTCGCACGGAGGACCGCCGATGATAGCAACCACCCATCGAGCTTGAATTGCGGCTAACCAGAAGTCTCTGGTATCCTGTCGGGATATGTCGCCCCACGTAGAGTCAATGACCACGTCGAGTGATATGACAAAGAGTTGGACATCTGGATGGTCTGCTGCTAAGCGATCAAAGTAAAATTGAAAGTCTCCGCAGCGTCTTCTGCCTGAGAACCCGTGCAACACGTAGCGGACTGCTCCAAAGCCTCGAGGAACTCGTGCATGTCCCTGACGTGAATGCTCCTTCTGCGCCTCCTGAATGCAGAAATCCTCCAAGACATTCAGGTCGCGATGCCAGTGTTCAGTCACGACTTCAGTTTCTTCGCAAAGGAAAGGCCACGGCCCTTCAAAGCTGAATTTTCGCAGAATGCCAAAGAAGTCCTCAGCACTGATACCCAGGACGGCCGTGTCTTCGGAAGTGGCCTCCCGCACCAAAGCTCGCAGCGTCTGGCGGAAGTCTTCCCAAGTAGTGGGAATTTCTGAGGCAACTGCTCTCAATGCATCCTCACCCTCTGCAACTGAGGTGGCATCAAGCATCCGCATGTAGATCTCTTCAAAGAGGACCAAATTATAGTCCAGAGCCACTCCATGTCGCCCTTGAGGCAAATGAGGTCCATGGCCAGGTAGAGGAGGAAGAAGTCCATCCAGGATTCGCTCTTGGTGGTCATTCTCAGTGGATCCAATGCCCGCCACGGGAGCAACATAGTGATTGCGTCTCTGAAGGCTGCGTCGGCAGTAGTCTGCTCGAATGAGATGAGCTTTCAACCTGCCATAGCTGTGAAATTCGCGAAGGCAACATCCACACTGTGTCGTGTCAAATAGTCGGCGGACTGGGTGGATGTGTCCATGAACTCGGAACATATGCGCCCCACACCCACCTCGAGATGCAAACTTTCGTCGACATTGCATACAGCCATAAGCTGGCCCGGTCAATGCGCGCACTTCTGACGGTGGTCCTTGCATAAGGCATTGGGCTTGATGAAGCTGTTGCAAAATGGCTCTGTGGAATTGAGTCACAGACAAAAGGTTGTCTCGTTGTGCTGCTGCATGATCGCCAGCTCGACGTACTAATTTCTTCCAGTAGCGCCGGTGGTCTTTCATGAGACTGACCCACGCACCAAAGTGATGATGCGGATCCGGAAGCTTGGCTGAGGAGCGAAGTTGATACCACATCCACTCAATGTCGCTCCTCACCAGCTGCGTCCATTCCGTGTCTGCATTGAGAAGCCCCCAGGGTACTGAGTCAGAACAGGAGTAGAGAGCACCTAAATGTCGCAGCCGTTGCTGTCGAAAAAGGTCAGAGGGATCTGACAGGCCAGTCAATTGCAAAACTTCTTCATCGCTATACAGTTTGATATATGCCTGAGGAAGTAAACGTCGATAAAGCTTCATTAAGGAGGTGTGCACGTAGTGTCGGGTGTGCTTTTCCATGAGCGTCCAGGAATCACATCCGTACACAAACTTACTCAAGATGAGTGTGCGAAAGAGTTCGGCTCGCCGCTGAAGAGTCAGCTGTTTGTTCTGGTAAAGGACTTTCCTGTGATGTTGAAAGGCTCCCTGGGCGATGCTGAATCGGCGGCGTGCTTCTTGTCGCATGTCCCCCCGATGGTGCAGGAGGCTACCCAAATGCACATAGGAGGCGACAACCTGCACTCGTTGCACTCCTCCTTCAAGTAGTACCGGAAGACTGGAATCTGATTGAGGGCCAAAGAATTTCTTCCTCGCAGCTGCCGCACCATGACCTTGAAAAATCAAGAGTGCAGCTGTCTTCCCCGGCTGGAGATTGGGCGTCATGGCATAGGATTGGCAGCGTTGAATGAGCAAGCCGCACAAATTGGCTGCCTTTCTCTCAAGCGTCCAAGGGTCAGCTGCTGCAAAGCAAAAGCAGGAGTCGTCCATCCAAGTTGGCCCGAGATAATCATCGCGGCCAGGCAACTCAAAATCTTCTGGATCTGCAGCAATTCCATCACATCTGAAACCTCCATGCTGAGGAATGGAGTCCAAAATGTCAAGTGGCTTGAGTTCCGCCTCCAACTCATGTAGAAGACGGGCCCATAGAAAGCTGAAGATAAAATCCGCCCAACAATCTCCGGGCCTGGTGCCAAGTCGTGTGCGGCAGTGATCATGTTGACCTGGAAGATGAAAATGAGTGTCTGAATGGATAGCTTGGACTACCATCTGAAGGTGCTTGGGCATACCAGCTCGTTCAATGGCGGAGGCCTTGTCCAGGTGTTGATACAACTCCCTCATGGTGTCCGGTCCCAATTGGAGTCTTTGACACATCCTAGCGATGGTCTCATCACTTGTGATGCCTCCCATTGCCATCTCTCGGACAATGCGATAAAACGCTTCACACAGGTCGAGGAACACCATGCCCACATTGAGCCCTTGCCGCTTGCGAGACCTGAGATATGCTCTCGCCTGATGAACGCCTAACGTCACAGGAATTTTGCGCTTGCCTCCAAGTTGTTGTTTTTGGAGGAACTGCTCGAAGATATCTGCAGTATGAGCTCGCAAGCACCGATGTATCGACTTGCCGATGTGGGACGATATCAGGATGCTGCGAAAAGATCCACAAAGATCTTTAGCGCCCTTTTGCTTCCATAGGGGGTACAAACGACCACCCTTGTGCAGTAAGCATTCATGCCCATGCAAGAACGTCTTAAGCAGGATGGCGTATGTCTTTTTGGCAATGGCAGCTGGTGCAAGGTGGCAGAGTCTGGCATCAACTTGATCAGGCCCAGTGGCCTTGGCAACTTGTACTCTGCGATAGGCTGCTTCAAGCTCAGTGAGACTTGGAAGATCACTGAGTTGCAGGTTGATCTCTGAGGCAGAAAAACGCTTCAAGTTGTCAAGCCATTCAGTGCGCTGTTGATGCTCATCAAGTCGATCTCCACCCTCCATAGTCTGGAAAAAGGATATCCAAGTGTCGAGGGCTTCGGCTGGGCTCTGACATACTTGTCCATGATGGTTCCTCACATATGGCAGGGTCTTGGCCTTGACCTTCTTGAGATTGGTTGGACCGATAAGATTTTTGACCTCGTGCAAAATATTCGCTGCTGGTGTGGTAGCAGTCATGCCACTCAAAACATCTTTGAGCTGCCCATATTTGGCTTGCCGAAGTCTCCCGCGCAATCGGTTGGCAATGCAATGAAATTTGCAGTATGCTCGGACACGGCTGCACAGCAGCCATGTATCATATTGCCAGAAGAAGCCACCATTGACTGTGACAGCAGGTCGAGATCGAAGGGCAGAGAAGCAAACCAGTAGCATTTCGTGTTTCTGGCGCCTGGAAATGTCCTTGAGCGCTTTCTTGGTGGCTAACTTGGTTTCCCGCAACTGCCACAGTGCTGCTGTGAAGATGGGTTTCTTCGGGGCTCGTTGTGGTTGTGGACAATGCGTTGCAACTCCATGGAGAAGGTGATGATTGAACTCATCAACATGGGATTCAATGTCCTGTATCCATGGAGCCGTTGGAGACTCTGCAATCGCTAGCTGAACATGTTGACTGCGCAGTCCATGGATGTCATATGTTGGTGAAGGCTTCATCCCTGGAACGTTGTAGGAGGTGTCACATTGCTCATACCACTGTAATTGGATCGCTGTCGCACTATGGTCCCAACAACCATTGCCCAGGTCCAGATCTTGCAACACGCAGCTATATGTGCACTCATGTCTGTGGCATTGCTGTATGGCAACATGGTCCAGGCAATGAAGATGTGCTCCATTCGGGCTCACCCAAGTGTCGTGCGGCCCCCTATGGCAATCACTTGTCGCAGGGAGGCAAAGATCATGTTTTGTCAAGAAATCTTGCAGCAAAGGCGTGTTCTCGTTCGATAGAAAACCATCTTGAAAGACCACACAATCATCACGTGGCCCTGGGTCCGCATTGGCATCCATCAAAACGAGCAAACGTTCATGATCATGTCGGAGTCGTGCATGATTGGAAAATGTGTGCCACCACTGCTCACGCTCTGCGCTCGAATGGCCGCAGTGTGGGGCATGTCCAACAAGAATCTTGAGCTTCATGTAGGGTGTTTCAATCTGGACTGCAAGCATTCTGGGATCACAATGAAGAACTTGAAAATCCGTGGGTTTCAAGTAGTGTGCCCGCCTTCCAATCCATACGTAAGGGATCTTGAGGTTTGCCCATAGTTCCGTGCCAAAGTGGCCTTTTGCAGAACCTGAACCCAGCCGTAAGACCCCATCAACTTGTCCAAATGTCTCTGGAGCGCGTGTTTCTTGCAGGCCCAGGAAATTCAAGTTGTGGGAGATGAACTGTTGCCGCAAATAATCCGTCTTCCCAGCATGACCCCATGGTCCATTGTAAAGTGAGGTGACATTGGCAGTGCCGGCACTCACGTGAAAGTTGCCTGTGCTTGTAGAGGAGCTGACCCACCTTGTCCATCTCTGAGGAAGCGACACAGGTGGCAACTGCGGAATGGGTGCATGAAGCCCGTTTGCACATAGAGAAGGTAGCCCATCTGTCTGACTAAACAAGGTCCACAGGTGCGGGATGATGGGAAGCCATTGCCTGAGAGCCAGACATTGTCGTGGGTGATAAAAACTCTTCTCTCGCTCAGTGCGCGCAAGCCAATCTGCCATCTCATTAAATGGTTCACCTGTGTGGCTGTGGATGTGCTCTACTGCCAAAGCTCCAGGTGGAAGGGCTGCTTCAAGAGCTTGGAATAGGCCACGAAATGTGTTGAAGGAAAGAGTCCTTTCCGAGCATCCCATAAGCCCGAGGGCTTGCCTGGCAGAAGTGAGTGAGTCACTACGAAATAAAGTGTCCACTTTGGAATTCTGGGCGAGCCGCCACATGGCAGCCCAAGCTAAGGCTTCCCTCTCGGCGAGGTACGATCCTATGCCATCAGCCCCAATGAAATGCTCACTTTGATGATCGTAGATCACAGGCTGTGTGGTCCAGCCCAGCACTTCGACCTTGTGCTCGTCGGTCGTCAAGGTCTCACCCACTACAACGAAAGCCCAGGAATCTCCATAGCCTTGCTCGTCATTCCAGAGTGGCGGTCTGTGCCTGTCCTTCGCTTTGGAAGAGCCATCTGTGTACACAATAATGCGGTCATAGTCATCCAGACATGTGGATGTACTCATCTTAAGAGCTGCTCTGGTCACATCTGGGAAGTCATGACCTGCTGGATCTCGGCACAGGATGTTCTCGGCAGATGTGAACAGCTTCATGAAATCATGGAGCGCAAAGCCTAATCCAATGACACAATCATCACCAGCTACCTCAGTCGGTGGAACGAAGTAAGGCCCTCGTGCTCCAGTCAGCTGTGTGGTGTCTGGCCAGGCTGGTTGAGACCGGCTGCAGATGGTGTGTGGTGCCTGTAGCACTTGCACATTCAGAAACTGAACACGAGAAAGCCCCGGCGCGAGAGCTTCTACTGATTGAATGGATGCTCGCCAATATCCATAGTCATACAAGAGGCTCATCAGCTCAACTTCCGTCATCTCTTTCGCTTGTGAATGAAGGAATGGTCCTTCTGGATCAGTTGTGTCAGTGTGGCAAAACATATAGTGTCTAATGCCTGTTTCTGCACACCACCCTCTCGGAAAACAGAGAGCTGCATCATGGGCACCAAATCGATAAACATCACATTGATGCCCCCAATGGCACAACTCAGTGACAACATCATTTTCGCACCATGGAGACTGGCACTCAATGTAGGTGGGCAAAGGACCAATCTCTGCTCCTTTGATGAGGCGGATGGCTGCATGTGTGGATTCCGCCGCCTGATGGTCAATCTCTTCCTCGTCAATGGGCAATAGAGTGGCCAATGTGAGCTGGACTGGTTGACGCACTGCTCGAATCTGCATCAAAGATACATGATTGGCCGGAGCGTCTTCTGAAACTGTAGAAGAATGGGAGATGACTTCATCAAGGGGCCTCGCAATGACAGTGAGCGCGTTGCCAGTACGAAGATGTGCAATGTCCTCCTGTGTGATGATGTCATTGCCCCACCAGATCTCATGCTGGATCTGCTGCAAAAGTCCGAGCTGATCCTCCCATCCCGCCGCCCGTATGATGCTGCTCTGTGTAACAGGATGCTCGAGGGTGTCGACAAATTGGAAGGATGGAGAGGTGGCTCTTGTTGTGTCTGAAGCCGTAAGATGAAGGCTTCGTCTGTTTGGCCTTGGTCGTTGAAACAGCAGCACATGTGGAGCTGGATGCTCTTCCCAAAAAGTTGTCTGTGGATGAGGCTGGATCATATGAAGATGGAAGACTTCATCTGGATCTGCTCTGTCATCCCAAGCTTCAATGAGTCGAGTCATCCATTGAGACAAATCACTGGGGAGTTGAACCACACGCGCGTCTGGGCAGCGTGGCCAGCGCTCTGTGTCCGCATACCAGGCCATGACTTGTAGATGACCTTCTGCTTCAATGGTCTGATGTTCCCAAATCCCTCGTAACTCGGTGAGGCATTGGTTGACATCCCCAAGTCGGATCTCGATGAAACCCTCCGGATGTTCTGGAGGCTGTTGATCTGGCTGCTGGTCAGAGGTATAGATCCTGTCTGATGCTACTCCACCTTCAGGTAGTTTACATTGAAGTGGTCGTGTTTGTCGATCCCATGGCCGGTGAGTATGAGCCACCTGCTCACCTGTTGGGCGCACCTGGGGCTGTTGGAGCATCATAACGATGTCCTCATTGTTTTGGCGAGAAGATCCAATGTTCATAGTGTCAACTGACAATTGCAGATGTGTGCCCGAGAGGATATGCACCGAGAAGCCAGGCTGTAGATAAAATCCCGCCCAAGCCAATCTGCAAATAACCTGAGGCTGTCCACATAGATACGTCATTTCAGTCTGAGTGAGAAACGACTCAATTGTCATAGGTTGTTCAAAGATGGCTGCAAAGCGTACTGGTAGTCCCTGAGGATTGCCAGGACCTTGTCGGCTGAAAAGACAGCCTGCTTGTGTAGGTAAGATATCTTGCAAGAGGATCAGATGCCCTCCATGTTGCTGATCTGAAGTCCCTGGCTGTACCGGAACAATGGTTGCAATGTGCATGGCGTCAGCTCTGTCAGACCATACATGCCGGAGGTGGCTGATCCACGTGCTTACATCTGGAGGTAGAGCGGCCAGCCTGGGAACTTCGCATCGATGGAATCCTCTATTGCTGAGAAACCATGTGTCAAATAGCATCACTTCAGAGCGATCAGGAAAACGCTGCCGAAGATGTGGCCGATCCCAGAGGGCTCGCAATTGCTCTTGAAGAGCATGGGGCAAAAGGTCGCGAGGTGGCCGTCTCTCACGGATGGATCTCATCTGAATGGGGCAGTGCGGCGCTGAAGCTCCAGAAAAATGACCTCCATCAGTGATAATAATGCTCGCCTGTACTTGGAATAAGGCGGCATGTTCATCGGATGCAGGTTGACATTCTTGACCAAAAAGATAGTCCATGTCATCGTCCGGGCTCCATGGTAGATGAAATCTGACATAGTCCCCATGCGAAAGCTGCAAGAGATGATTGGCTTCAATATCAATCACATGGTGGTTGTGCCAAAGAGCGCATCTCCTGTAGCGTGGGGAGCAGTGTCCTTCGTACCCCAAAAGTCTGATGATTGAAATGGCATTGCTCCTATGTGGAAGCCAAAAGCCTCTGCGTACAATTCGCAGTGCATCACCACGGTGGTCTGGACGATATTCAATGTCAACAAAGATCAGTCGTAACAGCGTCGAGCTGGGTACGTCCTGTTCTTGTTGAAGAAGAAAACATTCAAATTCTTCCTGTGCCAGATCTTGTGGAGTGGCCTCTACATGATAAACCTGGGTGACTTGCTCTGTTGTGATTGAGAAGGCCTGTGCAATCTTTTGAGCTCGAAGAGGCGCATCTGCCCAGGGCACATCAACCTGTACTGCTTGGCCATCTACAGTATAGACCATCGCTAAACGCCAGTTCTCCCCCTCATCCACATTGGGCTGGTCTGAAGGAGCGGCAGACCTACTTCTGCTGGTAGAGGATGAACTGGCCGTTTGATACGTTGCGAACATTTGGGCACTGGAGCGTGCCATGAAATGGACTGCATCGTCATCTTCTGGAAAATGCATCTGCGGCACAGGATCTGTACGAAATCTCGAGAAGAAGATGTCTTCCCATTCCTGGTCCGTGAGCCTGGGAGGAATGCGAACAACAATGCCAAGGCCATCAACCAGACGCATCGGTCTGGTCTGATCAAACTCAAAGTGACCAGCTTTGATAGTGCAGAGCCCATAGCCTTGTTGCTGGACTTCTTCACAGGCCTGGAGAGCCCCTGCATGCCAGAGAAAATCCCGCGCAGATGTAAGATGTCCAAGAGAGTGTGCAGATTCAACTCTTCTGGTTGTAGGAATATCATCATACATCGCAGAAACCACGCAAGCAATCTGACGTGGAACAGGATGTTGTGTGAGCAGCACGGTTGCTGCAACGCCTCTTGTCACAGGAAGAGGCAACTCAGGCCGTACCAGATGAATGTCCATGGGTGCATTCTCATCTACAAAATCTTCCCAGACAAAACGAAAATCTCTCTCCCATTCAACATAATCTCGGTCAATACGCAAGGGCCGAGAGATGTGTTGGTGAGGATGATGCTGGTGACTAATGTAGAAGGACTGCAAATACAAAACTGGACCTTCTTCTGCCATCTCAATTGCTCCTTCGGCTTGTAGTAGATCCCATAATTGGGTGACCCAGGCCGGGAAAAACCGCAATGGTGGTCTACGAGGATCTCGTTGCCGGTCTGGTGGACGGTCGCCATCAGAGCCATCCGACGGGTCAAGCATTTGTGGATCTTCTTGTCGATTCGGTTTCATCTGAATAGGATCACCTTTGGGAACTGCTACAACGGGAACATGTAGCGAAGGCATGATGTGTTCTGGTAGAAACACAGCACTGAACGAGGGCGCTGATCCTTCGATCTGTCGGCTTCATGATGGCAGAGAATTCTCCTCCTCTCAGAAGCCCCGCTGCCCATGGCATCTGTCCATGTCCAAGGCAGGATTCCGGAACAGCGTTGGAGTACATTTTCAAGTCGTTCTCACTGCCGATGAGGATTTCTGTGAAAGGATGAAACCCCAATCTTCTCACAGGTCGGCGTGGACGAGATTCAAATGTGCACACTTCTCCAAGATGAAGACCATGAACGCCGTCGTAAACCCCAAGCTCAAAAGCTAACGATCGTGCTTGCTCAATGGCTCTGCACTCATTGACAAAGTTCTCTTCCTGGAGGATACTGTGTGTCCATTTCATGATGACAGGCACTTGAGAAGGTTGCACACTGTCAAAACTCAGCCACGGCTTCAGGTTGGCATACTCTGGAGTCATACTCAACCAGCCTTGCCAAAATGCGATGAACCATCGCCAGGCACTTGTGGCATGTCGTGATCTTCTGGTCGAAGGGCTGTACGAGGCCTCTTGGCCACGTGTGCATCTTCTTCCACAAGAGTCTCTGCTTCCTTGTGCAGATTCTGGAGAGATGCTGCCAGACCCTGCATAGTCTCCGTGAGCTTGCTGGCGGTCGAGGTCCCTGCATTGGTCTCGTTCTCGCCCTCCACAAGCCCGACATTGCTGTGACCAGCCTGCGAAGGAAAACCAGATCTCGCGAATGATGCACCTGGAGAATTGCAAAAATGCTCAAAAGTCTCTCCTTGGATAGTTTGATGATACCCCGTTGATGGAGATGCCAAGCTCTGCGTGCAGCAGCCCTCTTGCGTCTGAGGTGTCTGCGAACTGTGGCAGTCGCCGTATTGGAAGTTCACGAGGATCAAAAAGCCCTTGGCAGAAACGTCCACCTGGAAGACCAAAAAGAGCACAAAAACCAATGCCAGAAAAGAGCCCCCAACCATAAACCGCTCTAGCCGAACTCGTCGATGGTGGTCACCGGGAGTTCCGGGAGAGCACAGGCTAGCGAGGGTCTCCAATGCACCCGGGGTTTTGTTTAGACTGGTGCCGGGACACCAGTAAGTCAGCGCACGTTGCGAAGGCAGCTGCAACGCCGCCCGTGGGAAACCGCGCAAGATCCCACTAAGGAAAAGGTCCCTAGCTAAGTCCGAAGGGGGGAAGTACTTCCTTCGGCCTAGCACAGAGCCGATACCTTGAATATGTATATATATATATATGCATGCATATATATATATATACATATATATATATACACATATTATATATATATATTATACATGCATATATCCAAGTAATACCCAATTCTCGGGACTTTGGAACCTCCAGCCGTTTGGATGGTGGGAAGAATGTTTTCCTGGAAATAAATATTGCTATGGATTAGTTTTTTGGCTACTTGGAGATCTACTCCATTGATTTTCGGTTGCAGTGGCAACAGCCTGCAGCCAATTTTCAGTGCCAGGTGCAATGGCATCAGTGGGACATGCAGCACTGCAGTGGGACGGCTGAACTTTTGATGAATAACAACAACCGCAGTATGGCATGACTCGAAGTGCACTTGAGTTATGTCATATCCAGTTCCCCAGTACCGATTTTATCCCTATTCTATATACATGTACCCATAGTTACACAATCATTTTTTTGTTTTAACCCAAGATGTACCAGATGTACCCATAATATTCTTCATGTTTGTTCAAATCCTCCATTTTTTTGTATTTTTTGCTTTCACCTCCACTTGACCCGGCAGTCGATCCTTCGTTGCAGCTTCGACGGCGCCAAAATTGTCGTAGCACAAAGGCCCGTGAGAGCCGGCCCCTGCCGTGTCAATCAGGACTTCAATGGGAAATCCCGGAACCAAATGGGCACTAAATGGAGGTATGAAGGGTCTATGAATCAACAACCGAACTGGGGGCGTGGTTGAGTACCCATGGATTGAAGGGACTGCTATTGGATTTGCTGAAAATGATTGAGAGATTCCAAGAGTAGAAGAATTGCGACTAGATGTGCATCCCCATTTTTGTTGTGTTTTGCAAGCAATATAAAGACTTTGGCGATATTCATGTGAGTCACGGTCAAAATGGTTGAAGACCACTTTAGTATTGCAGGATATTTTGTCAAAGATGTGCACGAAACACTGTAATTCGATAGCCCCCCCCTGAAAGCGATAATGACACAAAACACTGGAAAGCGATATGGCCCCCAAAAAAGAACACATTTAAAAAACGATAACAGCAACTACTGAGATGTAAAGTATGTTGATGGGAGCTCATGTATTTTCCACAATTACTCGTTGGGGTAGTTTTTTTGGACCCAGACATTTGGATTTGTTTATAGGATGAATTTGGGAAAACAATTGAGACGTTGCTTAAATTTATTATATGTTTTACTATTTTTTGTAAGCAGTAGTATTCATGTTTTTTTGTATTTTTGACCCCTGCTCATATAAAGCAAAAACAATATGGTGATGGGCAAAAAGATCCAGACATTCATGATTTTCATGTGAACTAGAGGGCGCCAGGCGCCGGGGTTCTGATTTACAGTAGAACCATAAATAAAATGGTGAACCATTCCCTGGGGCATCGAATTTGCGTGTACCAGTTTCGAATCTAGAAACCTCCGAAAACTAATATAATATGGAAAGCCAACCAACAGAATTGGAATCCGAATTTCCGATCGCAAACAACAGCCATGTAGGTTTCCATCTTCACATATCTTCACCAGTGTTCAGAGCTTGAGGTACCCTCTGGTAGTCAGACGTGGCTGGAAAATCCCCCAGCTAGTTCGAGAACTGCCCAGCTAGCCATGTGTGATGACACCGGATGGCAAAATTGGTTTTGCTATGTCTCCGGCACCGATGGAGCCTGGGAAATCAAGATACAAAAACATGATCCATTCGATTTGACAAATGCCTTTCTCAGCAACTGCCAACTTTAGGCATTGCCAGCTGCATTGGGAATTCCTGGGTACAGATCCTCCAGACATTCGCAAGGCAAAGTTAATATCAATCCCGGATTGACAAACTCCGTTGATCAATTTCATTTTGGGGGGGAGTTACCTCCCCAAAAAAGCGAGACAATTGTCATATAAATCATAGAAATTATCATAAGACTCCCCTTCAACGTGGCACACCTTGCCCTGAAATTCCGACACCTTGAGCTCCGCAGCTCCGCAGGTGGTGATAGGCCACCGCGCAGTGCCTTGGGATCAAGTGCCGGGGGCCGAAGTGCTCTCTCCTGAGGTGAGACCCAAGGGGAGACCAAGGGTGGATGGGTTTAATGTCATTGCAGTTTGTAGCCATACAATGCCATACACAAAAATTGAGATGTTCGGTCTTTTGGGGGTTAGATGGGCTTTGAACTTTCCTTTAAACTATGAAAATCAAAAACTTCCTAGACTGGACCCAAACAAATTACAGCGTCTCCAGCATACAACGCCAATGAAAAAATCCAATACATGTTCCTTTCGCCATGTTTCTTCTGGATTCTCATCCATGCATCTCAGTGAATTCAAACGACACCACCACCTCATCACAGAGTATACGCTGTGTACATAAAGAATCACCCCAGCATGGAAGAAAAAGCTGCTGTGGGAATTCCTGTAGTTTGCTCAGACACAGGTATTCCCATTGATTTTGAACAACAAATCAATTCAATCCCCACCTTTGGTTACACATATTTGTTAGTTCAATACCCTTTGGTTTGTTGAGTACCCACCATGTTTGTTAAGTGCACATGTTGTTCCTATTTTATAAGGCGCCCCCTAGCTGTGAGTTGTTTGTAACCTCCATTATATGAAATATACATATTACTTCGTTCGATATAGCATAAACCATCATAAACCCAACATTTGCTGGAATTCCGTTTTAGTTAACTATATTGTCTGGGGGACCCACCTTGTATTTACTCAGTTCACTTTGGTATGTCAACACCTTTCAACCTTGGACCATCTTGGACCATCTTGGAGCATTTTAACATCTCTTGTCCAAAAAACGTTTTCTGGGGAATTCCTGTCCCAATGAATCAACGCCACTGGGCCGTCCCAATATGCGCGTGGCAACGCAGGTGCTGCGCGCGGCAGCAACTTGCACAGGTGCGAGCTCGGGATAGAATGAAATCTAATGAACATTGTAACATGGTTGCAGAGAATTGTGAAAATTGCCGGATCCGGTTTTTGGATATGAACATGGTAGGTGAAAATCATCGGGTCCGATTCTTGGATCCAATTTAGCATCTGGTTAGTCTACTGGACTAAGTCGGATGACCCTCCAAGTATGGATGTGGCTACTGGGTCGACCGGGCGGGCAGTGGTTGATTTTTGGTTCGCAGTGAATGTGGGGCATATAGACTCACCAGCCCAAAGCTATATTTGTTTGCAGGGGACCGAGATTTGCGATGATGCAACAGACAGTAAGTGGAATCAATTTTGAGGTGCTAACTAGCCATTTAGCTACACTAGAGGGCCCATCTTGGGGCTGTTCATTTGGCTTGGGGCTCTTCATTTGGCCCAGCTTCGACACGCCCATTTACTTTGTAAATGTTGGGAATATCTCTAGGTTTCCGGTGGTGATATGGGCAACCAATCGTTCCACAAAATCTGCCTATTTTCACTTTGAGACCATGGGTAGACAGCCTTGCTTAATCACATTCGGGGATCGGTCCATAGCTGGGGCCACCCAACTTTAAGCTATAACCCATGATAGTTGTACGAGAATTGTGTGGGAAGGGAGCATGGGAAGTGGGGTCAAATCACTCTGAGGTCACCCCCATCCTGTCCAGAATCCTGATCCACGTCTTGGAGAGTCTGATCTTGGGGAAGCCCTTTTAAAAATCATACAAACAAACGATTTGAATTCTAGCTTTGGGGATGAACATGAACACAGGAATGAGGAAGCCCCCTTGAACAAGGATTCGAATTCTCGACTCAACAGCTAATATGCATGTGGAAAGAAATTTGAAGACATAGCAAAGGGTTTTACTCCTGCAGCGCGCGCTTCAATATTTCAATCTCAATAATAGGGCCCAATAGGGACCAAAGGGGAGCTGAATCTCACATCTTGTTCATAAAGCTTAACTGTGCTGGTCCTATTTGCTACCCTTTGGTATTCAACCGTGGCGCTGGAAAATCCTCTATTTAGGTGATTTTCCCGTTTCAATGTCCCTTTATATATAGATCTTTATTATACTGTAGGGCAATTTCCCAGCTAGCCATGTTGATGACACAGGAGGGGTATTCCATTGAATATCCCATTGTTGGCACTTATTCACCATCACTAATACCGTAACCATTGCTAGCCATTACAAATCATTCTTAACCAAAAAAAACATTCCTAGCCAGTATCAGCAACTATTATATAACAATCCTGAACCATTACTAATCATTCTTACCCTATATTCACCGCTATTAGGTCTATGACTTTGGTCGGGCTGTCCAGGAGAAGACTTCCAACTCATGCTCCCTGAGGAGTCAGATATGCCTGGTGACCCACCCGACCCCGGAGGTGGAATGGTGAAGATATGGCAGCCATGTCTTAGCAGAGATAGGCTTCAAACGACATATGTTTAGAGAAGATTTACTATATTATATTTTATATGTATATACCTAGTTTCCCAGCCCCAGCTAGTTAAAGCAATTGAAAGGTTTCTTCCCAGAATTCGTTGAAAGGAAGATAGAAAATTGCCTGGTGGAATAATAAACCCATGAGTTTCCCATATTTGTTCAAACCCAAGAGCCAGCCACGGATCTTAATCACTAGGCATGGTCCAGACTATGAATGCGTGGATTGCTGACCAAATATGCACTCAGAGATTGGCTTAGTAAGCTGGTTTACATCCTCTCTATCTATAGTTTACAATCCCATCCAATTAGCCATCACTAGCTTATATACTAATCAAGCTAGGAATATATATATACATATATATATATGGTTGGTGGTTTGGAACATGGCTTTTATTTTTCCATATTTGGGAATGTCATCATCCCAACTGACGAACTCCATCATTTTTCAGAGGGGTAGGTATACCACCCACCAGATATAGGATGTCCAATCCCATCCAATCCTCAATTTGAAGCAACGTGCGCCCGAGGCAAGAGCTGACAGATCTCGTGGATGAGAGCTTTCAGCGTGCCATCCAAGCAAGGCCCACTTATACTGAAACCCACTTATAATATGTTACAATGTTATGGTGTTGATGTAATCTACATGGCTAGGTTTATGGATGGGTGTATCATGGATATTCTATAACATTAGATAGATGATACAATTACTGTATATGTGATATTACATATATATATATACACAAATAAAATAATACCGGCAAACCGGGGATGCCAGAGGTTTATCATCGACCAACTCTTTAGGGCTTGTTTAGGGTTTGTTTAGGGTTTATTTTGTTGTTTTTGACAATGTTTTTTTAGTAAGATGCTACATTCAATGCTTACTTGGTGTTTCATGTCAGATTTGGGTTCTGGGGTTTAGGATTTAAATTTAGGGTTTTGTGTTTTTAGAAACAAGTCTCGTCAGCCAAGTTGCCATTTCACCGACATACCAACATGCAAAAAACACTGGCCTTGCGCAGTTAAAATCCACGTCGCCGGGCAGCATCACCGTCCTGGCCACGATATCATACATGTATATATATATAGATAGATATAAATTAAATATAATATATATATACATATTTTTGTGTATTTGTCGATAGATTTATAAACCAACTTACACCTGGGCCCCTAACATCTCCAGGATGGTGGAGGATGGCAACCCTTTCAGCGGCTTTTGGAACGGTTGGGTCTCCCTGAGTGAGCGCCAGATGACGCTGGGAGCCCTGCGAAAACGCCTCAAGGGACTGCTGGTGCCTCGGTCGTGACAGCAGAACTTCCCACCTGGCACATAAAAAACCATGATTTTATGGTGATTTTATGGGGATTTCATGGGTTTTAATGTGATTTAATGGGTTTTAATATGATGGTAATTATATATTAATAGGTGATTTCATTGATTTTAATGGTGATCTTATGGTGACTTAATGGGATTTAGTTGGATCTATTCACGATGTTTATTGGATTTAACGCGATCTATTGATTTGTTTGTTTATGGGACTTAATATGTGTAGATGAATGAGTGTTTGATTATGAAAAGCATAACCATCTGGTAATGTGAATGTGTTACAATCATTGAACTGAATGGGCATGTTCAATGGCTGTTGAATGTTAAATTACCGGAGGGTGAGGGTAACATTGAAAAGAACAACAATTTGGTATGTGTGTATCCCTTAACTGAAACAAACGACATTTGTATGAAATTGATGGCTGATCATCAGTGTCCCCTCCGTGAAACGCCCAGGAAGCTCCAAGCTTAAGGAAGCCGCGCGACGATGAATGGGCCCTGGGAGTGCCATGGCGCCATCTGCGATGAATCTCGACCCCATTTTTACATGAGTTATGAATCCTAACATATCATCAACACATGGTATAAACTGATGGTATATATGTATATGGATATACAATACTATATGGTATATATATATATATACCATCATGGAATCAACACTAACAAACATGATGGTATAAAATGTTTATCTGGTTTTGGAGCACACCCAACTTCTCTGCCCTGGAAGCAATTGTTATCATCCTATGGTTGTCGCATGACCGGGCTTTTGGTTTCGCAGCATGACGCACATGGCTTTGTCGGATAGTCGGATAATCTTCAGAATGGATGGTGCCACAATTCAGGATCCTCCCTACGAGAGAAAGCTGGGATTTAAGGCCGGTATGACTTTCTGGTTTCTCCTACAAACTAAGTTGGTTCTAAGATGTTATAACCCCAGCTACAAGTGGATGACTAGCCTTCTTACATCTTCTTAACCCATCTACCAACTTTGCAACCTGAATACAATGTGATATGTTAACTAAGGCCCTATTACATAATCGCATCTCCCCGACATTAAATACTACAGATCTCGCGAATAAATACGTACTGAATACAAAACTTGTTTCTAGGGCTGTTAATTTTCTCATGGCAATGGCCATGGCCGGTTCAGGATGGTCAAACCTGGTGCAAAACAATGTGACACCCACCATGTTTCATGTTTTGTCTTAAAAGCACCATTTTTCGTGGGTTTTCCAAAGTTAGACCATCCCGTTTTTCACAGATCCATGCCACCAGCTATGATGGACAGAGGTGCTTCTCGTGGGCCCTCAAGACGGTGTTCAAGACGGTGCTGGTGCGGTGGCAGCAGTGCATTGGATGATCTGATGATTGGATGTCTGGTGATGTCTGGATCATAGTCATCATGAAATCAATGATGAATATAAAATAATATAAACATATACTCACCCTGATATATAGATTTGTTTGGTAAGTCCGGGCTGAGTATATATGCAATGTGTTTGGATTTTAGATGGTCTTATCTTCCCGTATTAATACTTGTATCCCGACGACGACACAGCTAGCCTTGTGTGTGTCACTTTGTTCTATTAAAGTTCATTTGAAGGCGGTTTTCGGGCAAGTATGAGGTATGAGGATACGACTTAAACAATGTGACACAACTCACACAACCAAGTTAAAAGGTTATTTACCTGACGTTGAAGCAGACTGTAACGAATCATCATGGAAGGAAGTGGAAGAATGCCACAAGTAAAGCAGTTATGACTAGGCAGCATGGGTACGAAATGGTATGAAACCAGGAAGATTACTGAGAGAGTACTGGGACATAATGGGACATAGTGGGATGTGGTGGATTGTAACCAACAAGCTGGTCGTGTCCCGTGTATCCAAACCTTAGTGATCTCCAAAATCCCAAGTCCGTGGTCGATTTCGGGAAGGATGCACCACTGTGATTTTTGTACATGTCCCCTACAATACCAGGTCTCCCTTGCTTCAAAAAATGGCGAGCTGCCAATATTGGGGGATGATGATCAATCAATCCACGAATATACCTATTATAATTATTCGAATGGATGTAAGGACTCCCATTCTGCAATGGATGACTATACCCCATGTACCATGTTGTGACCATGGCACATGTGTTGTTTGAAACACTTCCAATTCCAACTGATGCGATGGGTTGTTTTGGGTCAGAAGATGTCAAAGGTAAAACAAAAGCTGAAGTTGTGCTGCTGCAGCGCAGAAACGATGAACAAAGTGAACCAAGCCTCTCAGTGGACTCTGCAAAGGATATCAGAAGAATTTGGTGCCGCGAGCTGATCATGCCTGCAGCTGGCCCCACCTATCCTCTCACGGATCCATTGCGAGCGGCGACATAAAGCACCAGAATATTTGAATACCCTCTGGTTATGACTAACATAGCCATGGAAGCCATGGCCCATAGAAATAGATGGTTTACCTATTAATAGCATGGTGATTTTCCATGGCTATGTTAAATAACCAGAGGGTATATTTGAATCATCTCCCCGCAATATTAAACACCCCCAATGGCCATCATCGGATACTGTGACCATTTCGGAGATGGTTCATGTGACCATTTCGGAGATGGTTCATGGCAAAAATTGGGATTATTAGCTGCCATTGTTTAGACATCCGCAAGCATTGGGTCAGGTGAGGTCATACACCAAGAGAAGCTGCTGGATTCTGATTCAGGTCCCTCCATTCCCAGCTAAAAGTGTGTCGATGTCATACCTGTGTAACCTATGTTCATGCCCAAGACCAATGTCGGATTGAAACAGGTTGCAAACCATAGTGTCATTTTTTTTCCTGGTACCACTGACAATTATTATGCATCTTTCAACACGAGTATTTGTTTGACACTGGTGGTTGTCCTCTTCCATGACCATGTTTGATTACCAGAGAGTGGTGGAATGGCCGATCAACCCCAAGAATCTGCCACTTCGAACGTCCACCTTCATGTCAGGCCGAGAACTCGTGGGTTACTTTGAACTTCTCCTTCAACGACCTGAAGGTTTGTCCAGGTCCAGCCTATAAAATAAAATGTGAATGAGGTATCTGGGGGGAAGTGGCAAGGATATGGAACCGATTCTGCACCCGTTCCGTGGAGTCAATTGACAAGGATCAGCGAGGTTGGTGGTCTCAATCAGCGCTACAGCATCTATTTTCAACCATCGTGGATTTGATGGTTCGCACCGATTATTTTTTTTGAATGGGTTTGAAGCCACAAAACAGTCTAGTCCTGAACCTGCTTTAAACCCATTTGGCAGGATACTAATTCCCACCATGCAAAGGGTCGGACACAGCCGTGTATAGTGGCCTTTAAACGGATAGGTCACTTCCGAAACTAAGTTGATTGCCAGGTTTGCAGGTTGTTTATGATGGATAATGATGGATATATATCATGGATATAATGGACATATGTCAATGAGCCAACATTTCAGCTATGAGTTTGCTATGAGTCTTTGGAAAAACTGTTCCCTCCGGTGCGAATATTCCACTGCAGGCGAGGTGAGATGGTTCCCTATTTGAAGAACCTCTGCGTCTCGAAGGCATCTTCTTCGGACTGAGTTGTTGGAACTTTAGTTCCTGAAATCATAGCGATAAGGTCTGGATTTGCGTCTCATTTTTTGATCCACATCCATTAGGTACCTGAACTTGAGATTTCCACTAGCAAATTTGAGTTACACTCTCGACACCCAGCATGGCAGTGGATGGGATTTTGGGAGCCAGATGCCACGCTTGATCATTTTTGTCACTGACAGCTTTTCCGATTTCTTCAACCATGTTTGCTTTCAAGCCCTGAGATTGACTTAATGAAGATTGCATCAACTATGTGGGGTTGTCTCCATCATATGTAAGGTGAAACTGTAAAACCCCCAATTGTTCAATGAAAATTGGCAATGACTTAGTACATCCTCCAGATTGATACAAACCCTCTCCTTGCACCCAGCAAGGATCTCCCCATCACTTCAAAATTGAACTTTGGTTGGTAAAATAAGCTGCCTTTTTTCTTTAAAGAATCATTACTTATTCTTGGTTCCCCATCAAGATTGATATAGACAAACATGTTGTTAAAATACAAATTTGTGTGGGTAGTTTTATTTCATCAGTTTGCAATTTTGATGGTTAAACTCTTCCCCCAATTTTTGGGTGAACCCCAACTTCTTCCACCTGAAACCCAGCGCCTCCAGGCCTATCGTGGCCGAGGCTTGGGGCGGAAGCTGCTTGAAGTGGTCGAGGAGTTCTCGAGGACGGCAAGGCGGATTTTCGTTTTTTTTTAATATAATGGGATAATTAATAACATGGAAATATCAATATATAAAACCATATATATATATATATAACCATGTGGGTTACCTTCTGCTATAATTTAACGTGGCTATGGAAGCCATGGACCATTTATATAGTTCAATGATGAATTACCCACTTTTTTGAATTTGTTATTTTCCATACTTATGTTGAATTGGCAAAGGGTAGTTTAGATGTTTGACAGAAAGGAGAATATACCGAAAAATGTGCTCTTTGGCATCAAGACTTGGGGAAAAAAAAACATACATAACATAGCTATAGCGAATCAAGAGAATGGGCTACAACTCCTATAATATTTTATATACTCTAATATTCAAGATGCTTTCACCAGACTTGAAAGTAGCATTCAACAAGCGAATTTGGAATGTTCAGTGACCAACTTGACTATGCGCCAATCTTTCAGAACCCATGGGCCATTCTTGGTTTGTGAGTCAAAATGTATATTTTTGAGGGCCCTCAACTTTGACCCACACAGGAGTGGCAATACAATAAGAATCCATAGGTGCGGTGCCGGCTTGATCTCGTCATGTTAGCAGCACTGGGGCGTCGTCCATATGAGAGAAAGCGACATAGACAGAACGATCAATAAAGATTTCATGACTTGAAACAAAACTTGCTTAGCACGTGCTTTGAACAAGAACTTTTAGTTTACGATAGCTAGGAAGGTCACAATGTTTAATAGGTAAAGCATGGTAAATCATTGTCATCTATGAAGGGAAGCTCCAAAGCGATGGCAAAAGTGTCAAGGTTGCTTTTTCCTGCAGGAACGTTCTGGCAGCGAAAGTTGAAACAAAGGAACTGAATTTGTTTGTATTACACAACTCAGTATATTTTGCAAATGGCATACCAAGAGTAAACGAGAAAAGCAAGAACTTGGTCGATTTTAGTGCTAGGACGGTATTTCCTTAGAGGGATTATTCTATTCATCCCATTTTGGTCAATATCCAGAAGTTGATGTGGTGAATTCACATCAGTGAATTCACATCGTTAGATCCTTCCAGGAATCATGGCTTCAGGGTGATGCTTCGATGATGTTCCATAGAACATCCATGGACCATATACCTTCTATGATTTGCTACAAATAAGAAGCTGCTTAGTGTAGATGATGATCTTCTTGTTGGTTCAATCCCAACCTTGCCAACATCATGCTACAGGAGCAGCTGGAAAGGGGAAAGTTTATACCTGCACACGGACAATGACCCTGCGGCCTTCGGCTTGTACAACAGCAGTGGTTATGTGGTGCGAAAGCAAGAGGAGGCTGTTGGGGCAGAAACCTGGGAATACCCCAAGGCACTAGCATGGGCTGCCCAAACCAAAGATATCCAAAGGGCAACAAAATTCTCAGTAATTAGAAAGTCTTGGGATGTCTTGGGTTATGTGCTGGGGTTTTACATTTCAGGATTGTCATTTGGACTGAAGGTCCCAGTTCTGAAGATTGTGAGACTCTGCAATCGTTGACTTCGAGATGAAAACATCCGATTGAACTATGGCTTTGAGAATGGCTCAAATGTGATTTGCCAAAAATCAACAATGTTATGCTTCAAATTTTCCATTGACACAACATCATTGAAAAAAATGTAGTAAAGTACTAAACCTACCATTTGAGCTGCTTTTTTTTTTGCACTGCAGGGTCCTCCGTGTAGGCTCTGCAGTCCGCGTAGGCTTATTTGTCGACTTCGCGTAACAGATCATCTCAAGAGCCCAACATCAGATCCCATGGGTGAATATATAATAATACAGCATAATACATATATATATATACACATATTATATATATATTATATCAACCATATATTGCATAACTTCCCATAATTTGTGTTTTATAATTTCCGGTAAATAATTTCCTCAACCCATAGTAATCCATAAAAATAGCCCCATTGATACCTCAATTTCCAATATGTTCCTGTCCCGAACCACGACGAAAAGCCAGGATGGAGAAGGCATGAGCATATACATGTCCAAACGTTTGATTTAAAAATAATTAAATATAATTAAATATTAAATATTATAAATTATTTGTTTGGATATTAATATATATATATATAATATTTATTTATATTTTCATATTTATATATATACATTGTATATATAAATTTATTTAAATTAATTTAATATATTAATTTATTGATATTTATAAAATATAAATTGTTAATTAAATTTTGAATATAAAAATATATTATATTTAAAATTCTTTAGGTAATATTTTAGTAAAATTAATTATTATAATTATAAAAATTGTTGATATTAATATTAAATTATTTAGAATTAATTATGGGTTTTGTGACC